GATAAGATGTATGAAGTTATGTGGAGGGGGAGTCAAATTTTCATGGGGGGAGTCACATTTTCATTATGAAAATCTGACTGGGGAGTCACATTTTCATAATGAAAATCTGACTGGGGAGTCACATTTTCATGGGAGTCAGATTTCCAGTTTTAAAAATTTTCCTCGATATTTCTAGTTTCGGAAAATGTTCATCATACTAAAATCTTTCAGTACTGACTAATACACTTTACCATATAGGAGAAATACACGCTGTAGTAAAAATAATGAATTTTCAGATGCCGGCTTAATGTATTAAGTAACGATCGATAAATTTATAAAGAAATATAACATTTATACATTCCAGGGTAAGAAAGGGTATATTTTACTACTGGCGCATCAAAATTGACGTTTAAAAAGAACGACTACACGGAGGATAAACAGTGCCTTCAAAAGAACTGTCTCCGACGGAATGACAAGGATAACTACCTGTATATAGAAGTTGTACGTGGTGGCTCTGATGTGTTTTTCATAGTGAGTCCCACTTAGATTGGGAGTACGTGTTCAGTGACAGTATGGTAATGTATATTCATCGTGTTTTTAACTAGTAATTGTGTTGGTCTAGTAACATCACGACCTTGTGCAGTTCAGGCTTGTCTTGAACAGCGAACGTAATTGCGTGTAAATAATTGTCTTAGATTGATTATGAAGAACCAGCGTTTTTGCAAATTCAAGTATCAGAATGTTTACAAATGTACATACATGTTTTTCAATATAAAAGAATTTTTAATTTGAGTGGGCACGTTATTGAAAACAATGGTAAATTGTGAAGTGAGATGAAATTGTGTAGTGAGGGATATGTTCCAAAAATAGTTCATTAGTTAGTACCAAAAGTGAAACTTTATAGAGGAATTTGGAAAATACTGGCGTTGGGTAGCGTCGACCAGAATTTAGCAAGAGATTTGGTTTGTAGGGTGCTAATGACGGTCCACCAAACTCACGAGGCAGGCCCGTAGCCAGAAATTTCGAAAGGGAGGTTCTTTTTCAGAAAAAAAGGACCTTTTACAGTGGAACTCTTGTGTATCTAGATCAATTTTACCAGAATTGACGTTTTCCTTACAAAAAGGGCGATTCTTTTTAACCCCCCGAACCCCACCCCCGACCCCCGACTACGGGCCTGTGGGTTGTAAGATCGGGTACACCTAGTATGTACTGATATATATATATATATTGGATACGTTACTTTACTACCCTTTCTGATTTTGAATAAGTTACTTAATAGCAAAAAAAAATTGTAATCTGACACGTTACATTAGACATGCAATGAAGTTGAGGAATAGTGTGTGACTCATGTCGGTTGATTGACAAGGGTGTTTACATATATACATATTTAATGTTCTGTTGTCAATGCATATTCTTTGTAACGTAATTGTTTGACCTCGCAGGCCTCAAGTTAAGAATTTTTCTTTCTTTGAAGACGACTGCATAAGTCAAAATGTTGCTTATTTTTACCTTAAGTATTTTTATAGATGTGCACGCTTGTAATGATCAACTAATTTTACAAACCGCAAAAAAAGAAGTACAAAAAGAGGCAATTCTCGGATACATATTTATTTATTTCAGAATATCTTAATTCATTTCAGTTGTGTAAAAATGAAATTGAAATAGCAAATTGAGAAAATTGGAAAGGGAGTAACTGGCACATTTTAAAAATGAGTTACTCTTTGGCGTAGTGACGACTATCTCCTCTTCTTATTTTACAACATCGATATATATATACAGCACATCCAAAGTAACCAACAAAAAATGTTATCTCTGTCATCACTGTAGGTGTCACCTGAAATGGAGTATTTCGGAAATCAGTCGGGATGATTAAATATTTTTATTCCTTATTCGGAAAGTTAAGAAGTGTTGTATATTCCGATAATGACATCATAAACATCGGACTATAACTAGCAACACTTAATTAATAAGCTATGTTATATTATCTCTAAGAAATAAATTGAACATTGGCTGGATTGTGTCATAGTGGTGTCCGTTCAACGTGCATATGTATAAATCCTTTTAACAGGAGAGAGAGAGAGAGAGAGAGAGAGAGAGAGCGTACTTTGGTATCACGCCATTCCCATTTTAGTATTTGCTATATCCGTATCCGTGACTGTTGGCGTATCTACCGGCGTATATGTCGTTGAGGTTGATGTCACAGATGGCAGCACCGCGGTAGGCGTTTCCTGGCACCAGATCGAGACCGCTGGTAGCGCTACCTGGAGCACAGTGCTGCACAGTGGCGATTCCATTGGAACAGAATGTTAGAGAGAAGCCGTCAGCGTTGGCGTAGATACCGTCGTAGGCGCAGACTCCTGCGAAATTATAAGTGTGATAAAATAATTTATTATTCAGAATTTCCTTGAATTAAAACATAAAACATCTATTAGCCATCACGTATATTTTGAAAAAATATAGAAAAAAAAACACTGCAAGCTGCTAATAAATTTTAACATCGAAATACCCCAGCGCAGTGATAAATTTGAAGACAAGGCACAGCGTAGTTTATTTTGAACTTTGACATTGGTAATTAACTGATAAAATAGTTGCTCTGCTAAGTTCTTGTACGCGAAATGATAGCACATCATTGAACGTTAAGTCTATCAGAATGATCTATGCTTTTCTCTATATATATGGAATCATCCACGGTTATTTTAGCCAACAAAAGAGGATAGAATTGCACAAAATTGTGGGCGCAAACACAAAAATAGAGAGGAGGATAAAGGTGCGGGGTTAGGAAGCGTGAAAGATTGAGACAGAGTTCACTCACCGCCGTATTTTCCACGGTACATGTATTCCTCGTTATATTTGAGTGTTGGGGCGTCGATGACGTGTTTTGGGCCTGCAACCACTGGTCGCAAAACACGTGGGGGAACTCTTGGAACCACACGTGGGGCGACTGGGAGAACTCTTGAAACCACACGTGAAGCGACTGGGCGAACTCTTGGGATCAAACGGGAAGCGACTGGGAGAACGGATGAAGCGACTGAGCGAACTCTTGGGATCAAACGGGAAGCGACTGGGAGAACGGACGAAGCGACTGGGAGAACTCTAGTGGCCACACGTGGGTGAACTTTTGAGACCACACGAGTGACGACAGGGGCTGCTGGTTTCACAAGCTGTTTGTGATAACGGACGAAGCGGTTCCTGTAAAACAATGGAAAAATATGTTACCAATCTTAATTTACTGAAACATAAACTCACTGTTTATGCCAATTTTAAGTTTACAATTTGAAAATGATAACTAAAGGACTTTGGTAAGAATTGAAAAAGCGGAGAATGTTAGCCAAAAATATTTTTAACCTTTGTTAGACGTCACTATTTTGTCTATTATTTTGATATTCCAACGTCCTTGTTTACTTAAAGCCAAAGGAATAAATTACATTCCTTATTTGTTGACTAGTCTCCAAAACCCAAATCCTCTGTGTTTATAAAACGCCCCGAATGTGACTAAACAACTTGACTGAAAAATTGCCCATGGTTTTCTTGTTTTAAGAATTCAGGAGTAAAATTAATAAGACTGCTGCTAGTTCTTTCAGTCAGATTGGACCCAATTTTCGGTCAAAAATTTAACTTATACTTTTTTTGTGAAACAAGACCTTAGTTTCCTTCCTTTCTTGTGTTGATAAAAAGGCGCACAATGAGCAATAGACAATTACAAATCAAATTTAATTTTTCATGGAAACATCGACACGTTGTCATTTATCAGCGGTCTGCCATATCCAAAGCCTTTGACAAAATATCTTGAAAAGAATCGCTTAGTTTTCTATGAAAATAAATTCCTTTGCTATCCAAAGTCTAAAAGAAGAAGTAAAATACATCGAAGACACCTTACCTGAGAGCAAGGTTGGCGTTGCCGTACACGGGGGAAGTTTTTCCAAGCAGGTAGTCATTGTAGTTGGCAGTGGCCACAGCCACGAAGACGAACATGAGGGCAACGACTGACTTCATCTTTGACTTTTGATCCAAAGACTGTGCTGTAAGATCTTCACCGGAGCTTAACTGATCCCGAAAGCTGACGGTCTTAGATTTCCAGAACCTTTTATAGTCCGCGATGTCCATCGGAGGGACTTGAAGGGGGTGTCGGCGGCGCGTCCGTCTTGTCACATTGTCTGTCACACATACTGTAGGTGTTGTTATATCTGTAGCTGGTACCAATTTAGTTCAATTTTACATTTACTAATACTACATCAAACTACCCTTTTAGGATTTTTTTCAACAAACGCTCTTTGAGGTTTTATGATTATACATTTATTCTATATCAACGGGTATCTTAGACACAACTTCTATATCTTGTACCCTTGGGTGCCCGACGAGACAGTACGTGACTCGAACCATTTACCAGAAGGTGACAACGCGCACGTCATTTTGACACATTCCGGAACATAATTACACCGAACGTTTCATTCATCAAGATTCTCGTTTTCCAGCGCTCTACACACGTAGCATTGTCAGCTTTTGGTTTATAATTGTGTCGTAAGTAGACAACTCTGCCTTACGCGTAGCAAGAACTGTTCTCATTAGAGGTGTGAGCACGCGACGGTTTTCTGTCTATGTGTAGAGGTCGCGGTTAGTTTAATAACCATTTTTAAAGCCTGCATAAGCGGTTATGTGTGAAATTAACCCACAATGAACTTTAAAACAGAATTCGGTCATTGTTTTTAACTTACAATTTCCTTACTGAGCTGTTTTAACACATGCGGGAGTATCTTACATCTGAGAGTAATTTATAAATGATCCGGTAACGATAAGAACTGCCTTAAAATACTACTACTACTCCTAGATTTATATCATCAAACTTGATCAAAATGGAATGATGGTCAACCGTCAATTCGGAATTTCGATCCACTGACATCACTCTAACCTTAACCTGTATGCATATAATGGAGGGTGAAAAAAACGTTTGATATGCCCAAGGTTGCACTGACCTTCAGTTTGCTTAGACGTCTGGACGGAAATTCAAGTACATACAAACATGCACACACGTGCATACAAACACGCACATACACACACACACACACACACACACACATCACATCTGTGAACAGGTACAAATCCAAATAAAACGTTTCAATAATCCTCCCCCCCCTCCTCGGACCTCACGTCTCGCCATCAATTTGCTAGTTTTCATCTCTGTGCGTTTACAAGAGTGACTAAAACATTGGACTCCTCATACATCATGATATGATTTATTTATTTATTTATTTATTTATTGCTAAGCGCCCATTGTATGCCTGCATTATTCTCTTTAGACTTAGATAAAGACCGATTAAAGTAATATTGATGGCCAATGCACATTTGCAAATATTTGATTTCGTCTTTTAAGTTATTAACAAAAAACACCTTGCTTTTGTTTTGAAAAAGACATAGTTATTCAACTGTACTTAAGAAATACACAGTTATATTTAGGCAGGTTGCAATTCAATTGCTGTAATAAGTATGACTTCAAAAAATGCATAACATCCAAGATATACTGTCTGAGTTGTACATGTTCCAATTTCTTGTTTGCTATACCTTCGTATCATGCCAAGCTATTTATCTTTCTCAATTCAGAACTTAAATGTATAAAACACTTGAAAGAAATGCATTTATGTGATGTAAATATTTCTTTCTGACATGGAGGTCTTAGGAACTGACCAGTCTTCCAGAACTAAATTATTTAATAAGAAATGTAATTAAGCATCGAATCAAAGCGCAATGATTCGTTAGTAAAAGATAATTGTTTTGTTTCGAAGAAAATTCCATTTGCGAGAAAATCCCAAATAGGATATGTACCTTTAACAAAGTTGTCAAGCAAACTCATCATGATAATTAAAGGCATTTTGGATAGCTTATTTTCGTGCAACATAAGACAGATAAGGTCCAGACCTACGCTGTAAATTATTGCACGCAGCACGAAACGTTTTATTTTGAAGTAATTTAGTTTCACAAAATTGCTTTTCATCTGTTGCACAATTAATCTCTGTTTAATGTCGCAAGCCTCCACTTTTTTTGACGAACATGTACTGTCAAAAGTTAGACCATGACTTAACTTTCATTTAAATCATATTTTCTGTTTAAATCATCTTTAGAATGGGACATCATGATACATGAGGGGTCAGATGAAAAAGTACTAGGGTGCAAAGGGCCTATTCCAGAAAAGAACTTAAGATAAAACGGTGGCCTAAACTTTTATAGCCAAATTTTCAGTCTAATTTTCCCCAATTACATATAATCATCTTAATCCTAAGAAATTAAATGATATTTGGTTTCATAACAATAAAGAGATGCGTACTACCAGTAGTAGACCTACTGCTTAAAACCTAGATCTTAGTTAAAACCAACAGCAACGCTAATATAGTGAAATACTTCACGTTCATCCTGGACTGAAGTAGACCAATGACTGGGTCTAAAAGCTTCTTAGTACATGTAAGACCAACTCCCCCTCTGATGTTCTTTCATAAAGCCGGGCCTAGGGGTATGTATGTGTGTGTGGGGGGGGGGGTAAGAGGAAGAGGGGGTGGAAGCGAAATTAACAGGGAAATAAACATTCCCTCTTTTCTCATCAGTGACCATAATCTCATGAAGAGTCTTCCTATGTGTCTCTGTAGGTCTTTGAGCTCAGTTTTCCAAGCAGTTACATGGTGAAACTATAGTACTGTGCATGTATCGACTCAATTATAAATTCACGGACAAGAACTTAATTATCTCATTTACTTTATCTTGTATAGTGTAATAAATGGGATGCTTTGACAGATGCTGACAATGGCATGAATTTATAATTGTACAGACAGTATTATAAACACCAATGTGGTAACATATGGTCGTTTATGTATAAGAGCATGATGCATGCACATCAGGCCAATGCAGTGACAAAGCGATCTTGTACAGAATATAGCGGAGTGGACTACAATGCACGTATAGTAGAATAACATTTCTACCTTGCTACACCTTGAATAACAAGAAATAAAATTTTCCTTGTGCATTTGCCATTTTAGAGACTCTTCCAGGGTGTTGAAGTAATGGGACGAGAAATGACCACAGGAACATCTATAGGAGATATAAGGTTATTTTGGTTTATTCCTTTAAGAATATTTAGATATAATTAAAATTCATAATTATCGTGGAATTTAAGCTGTGTGTGTGTGTGTGTGTGTGTGAGAGAGAGAGAGAGAGAGAGAGAGAGAGATCACTGTGCGCGTGAAAGAGAAGGTGAGAGAAGGCGGCTAGGGCCAATATCTTTATGATTCTAATGTGGTTTGGTGGCTGTGATTTGTCCGAATTACAAAAGGCAAAAGAAGAATGAAGGAAAAGAAGGAATGAATTTACTGGGGACAGGGGGTCTTAATGGGGACCATCTGATGTATACAAAGTTTTAACTTTAAAACGTTAAAACAAGTGTGTGTGACATCACGCGAGACTATAGAAAAAGTGCGAGAATCCACGAAAAGTATGGATAACTTTTCTTCGCCCTGCTCAAGCACCACATACGAATTTCTCTTCCAACCATGCAGATTCCTCCCAACGAAAGTTATTACAAACTAGTATAAGTGATAAAATAACAATGAGACATCAATAAACATTACAAAGAATGTCAATATAAGAACTTAAAGTGTCCCCTCGTTTTCAATTCGCAAAGTGTTTACGACAATGAATTGAGACAATTAAGAATGTCCATTTATCTGCATGATTTCCATTTAGCGGGAACAGGAAATTAGTCTCTTCACTGTTCTGTTGCAACGAATGTCGTTAGACTTAATTATATCACTGCTTAACGATCGAAAGCCATTCAGATGTGGCTAATTTAAGCTTTATCAATCGTTTGATTCAACAATACTGCAACAATCTCTCACTCTGTAACGCGCAATTGATACTCTCTCTGCTATATTTCTTGTATTAATCGTAATTGATTAGCAATACCACGTGTATCCGCACTCTGATGGGAGATGAAAGTTCAAGCGACCCCTGGCAGAAGTCGTGAGGGGACAGGCTTGACGGAGATGAGGGTCAGTTTTTCGAAAGAACGTTAGCCCAGCGAAAATCGGCCTTGACTTTTAAACCAAAATTTCTATCTTCAGTTCAAGATTAATTAATAGTAGCCGACTTACATACAGTTAGTATCTGGCTTAAACAATGGCCATTTAGTGGTTGTTATAAAATCAGGGGGGTGTTTTATTTGATTGAACTATATGAACTAATGCCTTGAAAAAAAATAGAGACTGCTGGAGTCTTATGAAACGCGTTTTTTTTTTCTGAACGGAAAGCAGGAGACTTTTTGAGTCGCGGTAAAATTCCTACATCGTCTATAGATCTCTTTTACTGTAATTAATAGATATTTTATGAATCGGCTTTTACATGAATGCTATACATGTATTATTCACAATAACGTAGTATAACTAGTATCATTAATGCGCTGAGAAAGCAATACCGCAATTTCCTTATATCGCATGTTACACCCTCCCCCCTCGCGACTCATGGGGTACCACCCCCTCAAGCGCCACCCCACCACCGATGCGGATGCCATCTGAGAACCCCCCCCACCCCCACCCCGCCCCATAATCAACTCCCCTGTCCCCTCACTGACAAGACCTTTAATCTCAAATGTAACTCCGTGCCAAAAAATCAATCGTCTCCAAGCCGTATTGTTGAGGTATGTTTTAACAATTGATCAATAAACAGGTTGTGGATGTTCACTCAGCATCGGCGTTAACTGTAACGATCCCATTAAAAGTGAGTGGGACGCCGTGTAGACGTGTGGGGACATTGAAAGGACAGCTTTAAAAAAAGGTAAGCGTGTTTATCTTAAGCGAAGAAAATGAGTGAAAGAGGGATTATTTGAATATGCTCTTAGTAAAACAATTAGTGTTTCGAATAAAAAATATACATACAGTGTTTAGGTTATACTGGTATATATGCTATTTTCAGATCAGAATGATGGTTGTACATGTAGCGACAGGTTCATTTCTTTGTCACTGCCTTCAAGATTTAGCTTTTAAGTATGTTTATTTTTAATAATATCTTGGTTCGCGAAACACAATAAAACACGGTGAAACAAAATAAGGAATACACATTTTGCTTTTTAATAAATGAACATGAAAATGATAAAGTATTTGAATTCCTATAAGGATCGTGCACGTGCTGGTACAGGTGGGATTCCTTACGGTCACCATTAATCAACCAAATATAATAAAAAAAGTAAACATATACAAATGATGTTTTTATTTGAAAAGTGACATCTGGAAAACTAATACAGAGACCTCGCTTATAATGATATCACATTAACTGTATCTATCAATCTCTTTTGAAATTACAATTTACTGCTCTATACGCGTTTAATAGACTTCGCATATTACAGACATAAATAGTCGGTCTACATCGGTCAGTTATTAGCAAAGTCTACTTCAGATGCAATTTTTGTCAAAGTGTGATGTATGTAGTTGTAAAAAAATTATGCCATCTTAACGTTTATTCTAAACGCTGCACAAAGCATTTGTTCGGCGTGCTTTCTAGGAAGAGACAGTATGACTTGGCACAGATATACCGTTATTTAACGTTCACCCCCACCCTCCTTGCTGGGGTATTAGGGTGGGGAGGTGGTACATGTAAACAAGAGACACTGCACCCTACATCTTCTTTTCATAATCTACACTAGCTCAACTAACTCGAGGGATTTCCTCCTTTCTAAATTGGCAGAATCGTCTAACCTATATTATCTTTCCCAAGCAGGTGTCTGAGAAGAAAATGAGTCTCAGGCACTTAAGTTAGGCCTTCTCTAATGTGGTCTTCTTCATACTTTCAATTTGTAAACTGTTTTAGAAGCCCCTGTAATATCAGAGGGTAATCTTCGTTTACTGTGTCAAATACCATGCAGTAGCCTATAGACCTGCCCGTAACTATCCCGAACCATTCTTTTTGTAAATTGATTACAGAAACAAGACAGAAAACTGAAGAATGGTCCCTTGCTGTCCACCCTTCAGGCCACAGTTTCCTTTCAGAGCTGTCCCCGACTATTCACCGTATCTCATAAACAGCCACATCGTAAGGATCTATAAATCACCGCCCAGGTTTATGGTCAAGATGTCCTTGTCGCTATCCCCCTCCCTGCCTTTTATCGGCCACGTCATGTTTACACTGACCGGTCAATCATCGCTGCCGCACAACACGCTTGAATACACGTTAAATTTGTCTCCCGGCTTAACGCCCGGACATGCGTCTCAGGCGCGAACGTGATCCATTTATCCTCTACGTTGCAGAAATATACACATATATTTATATATTTAATAACACATTATGCTCTCTGAATGTAAATGTTTGCTGTTGCACTATTCATCCATTGGCAAACATCGCCTCTAACGCTAACCATGAAATTGCATGAAATTGGAAATGAGCAATGTTTAATAGTCCGCGTCATTTTGATGTAGTTGTCACAGCTTTGTTCTCGTAGTATTTTGTAATAGAACTGGTATTTGAACATACAGGTAAAAGCAAGTTAATTTTTTTTATATTCATATTTTTCTGTTTAGACTAAAAATAATGTTTATTCCCTGTACATATAAGATGAAACATAGACACATCTCCAGTCACACTAAAATGTTTTGTTCCTTTTGAAAAGGTAAATCCAATAAAAGAAGATATGCGTACGATATGAGTATAAAGAAAAGAACATTTTGCTATTCAACTAAATTATTTTCAAAGTTCTCCGCGACACTGGCTTTTTGATTTAATGTTCGGAGGCATGGGGTATCCCTTAACGACGCTTGTTTTTATCTTCAGTCCAACCTAAAAATAGAAAAATTTGCTCTAAATACTTCACACTCCTCCAACCTCTCTCTCTCCCTCTCTCTCTCTCTCTCTCTCTCTCTCTCGTATTTACCGACAAGAACACGTTGCCGTTGTATTTGTTTTCATTAAAACAAGATTAGGGCTAATATAACCGTCTGAAAACCACGATACCGATCACATTAATTGGCTTTCAAGCGAAGCGTGGGCAAGTTTTAAATGAAATCTGTCTGCAATCCATTTATAAAAAGTCGACAAGGAATGAAATAAGCACCAATCATTCAGGCCTTTTATAGTTGTAACAATACGACGGTGTTGTGACAGCGTCAGAGAGTGTGATTTATAAATGCAATCATTAAGTAATGCCTTGAGAAGTCATTTTATCGACACCGCTGAGTGTCTCGTGTACTGTAGGGCTTGGCTGAGCTGTGCAAACAATTAAACACCTGACACAGAAGACACAAGAATGGCAAATGTTTAACCAAAAGGCAATGGGAGGAGAGAGAGAGCCTCTTGTCGCAGAGGACAGGGTTATGGCGAGTGCTGTTACAATTTGTGAAACAGGAGCATTTTAACACGTGAAATGTGAGGTCGGCCACTGAGACGGAACGTGGAATATTATGGATGAGAACTTTGAGGTTTTTTATGGATATAAACACAACATTCCAAAGCTTGCTGAGTGTTTCTTTGCTTCAGGATTAAGCTGGTAAATGAGCAATAAGAAATAGGTTATATAATCACAAAAAATACTTACTGAAAATAATTATTATACTTAGGAAGTTTTTCAATTGAAATGATCCTTTTATACCAAGACAATCTCGACTATTATTTAATGTAAATGGAGGTTTTTATAATTCCTATTTTTATGCACATTCAGCCATATATATTTCCATTCGACAGAGATACGCCGTAGAAAAGCAGTCTTTAGCGGTTCTTGATAAGTATATAAAGACACGGCTGATTAGTTAGAAATTAAACCAAATATGGAAAGGAGTACGTTGTCAGCATAAAAGAAGTCGTCTGCACACAGAAAGGGGACTTTTACAGAAGTCAATCGTCTGCCATCTGCTGAAGAGGCTAAGGACAAGCGACCGTTTTAAGCCGAGAGATGTGAAGACGGACATGAAGTCAAACCCTCCACTTGATCAAATACGTAATTGGTGAAGTGTTGATTTGCCTTGGTCGCTAACGTGGTGTTGATGTTTAGTAATATATTAGTATCTGGCTGCTTAGAGAGGTGGAATTGAAGTTTATGTACTGTCTAGGATATGGATATCAACGAAGCGGTGCCCTAACGAGAAATTCTGGGATACAGGTAGGGTTTTATGGTGATATTTTCAGTTACTCCAAATAGTAAGTTTACTTAAAAGAACGGATGTAAGGGCTAAATGGGGTAGTGAAGCCTAGATGTATAGAAAACGCTAAATAAGATTTTGTGACTTTTTTGGTGATAAATTCTATTCTCAATAATAAAGAAATTAAAAAAAATATATTAAACCACCTTGACGTTAATACTAAAATAAGTCCCGAAGACAATTATAAATGCGAGTGGAAGCTGAATAAAATTTTTCAATTAACAGAGAAAAATGTTTTTAGATAGTATGCGAAATACTATGTCAGCTACTCTATAATAGAAATACATGTAATCATTCGATATATCCTTTATATGTAAAATCCATATACTAAACGAAAAAACAATGTTGCATTTCATACATACTGAAAAACAGACTTCTCTTAAAATCACTTTGATTGAAAAACCTGGAAGTATTTTGTATTTATAACTCTAGTGCATACATACAAGCAAATTCATATTCAACATCTAATATAACTTGCTTTGACAACACAATCAATTATAATACAGGAAAAATATTCCTTATACATTTATTTATCCTTTTATTTATTCTTATTACATTGCGGTGACACATTTACAGACACAAACGCAGAGGTTGAAGGTTATCAAAATTTTTTCTTCGGTTATTATTATTAATGCATCTGTAACAAAGCGTAAGGTTATGCTATCAACTTGAGAGGTGAATTTTTTCGCATGGGGTGAAGGATCTACTAATGCCCTTTGTATTTATTGCATTAGTAAGTCTTCATACCATTCAAATCAGCGTGTCGTGCGCCTTGTGTGTATTTCGTGTATTCTTAAATGACCAGTGTAATGAATATATGGTATTCTTATTTCATATACCTGATATTATTGTTGTTTGATAATGTTGCTGCATTAATTATCGTTATTCAATTATTGATCATAGCAGGCATGCTTAGGTAATCAAATCCAGTATTGAAATCTTAGCACTTACCGTTAGGTAGTTTTGATATTGATCTTGTATTGAACATTGGTCCTTTTCAGTCAATGTTCAATCAGCCTGCACTAAAACTTTCGAAAGAGTTATGCAGTCTACGGTCAGCAAAATTTTAAAAATTCGAACCAATAAAATGTGAATTTTTGCAGTATCTGGCTGCTATCTTTGTTTTAAAGCAGTAGATTATTGGTTTTCTTAGGCAGGAATGGTCGGTATATATTTAGGTCTTGACACCTGTAGATTATATATGGTTAACGGCATCAACTTGAATTTCTAGGGCTGTTGTAATATTGCGCTTTGTAATTATTGTCAATGTGATCTTTGCCTTACAAGTCTTGATCACGATTAATGTGGTTAGATAATAGTGCTGATGCTCTAATCTTAGCGCACGGGTATTCTAAGCTTGTGATTGTTGCCTAGGAAGACTTCAAAATCAATTTAACCCATTCTCATTAAAGTAATTTGTCCTTCAATTTTAAACGATTAAGAGCGAATTAAGATTCCATCAGCTGCACCGTAAAGATGGAATTTTATCATCCAGTTGAAAATGGCTTTCATTCCGATTGTTTGTTTACCTTACAGGCATTGAAATGTTTATCAGGGGAATCGAGAAGAGCTGATAGAAGGTCGTAGGATTTCGGTGTCTTCGTCCACGCCGTTACGTAAACCATTCCTTCCACTCCCTAACGACAGAGATAATACGCAGAAGACAACGACGCGTGGCATCTTCACGACGGAGACTTATCTGTAACTGTCACCGAGTAACTTGGTTACGTAGTTAGGCGAATTTCCTAACGTTTTTATCAAGAAACGCCCATCACGTCCGAATCTAAAATCATGTCCGACTTACGATAATTCAAAGAAGAGGCAAAGAACGACAATTTAACGCAGAAAAATTAATACAATTGATGTGGATCATCGGATGTTAACAAGAGATAGCTATCCAATTGGAAGGCTTGCGTAAACTTATGAATGAAAACCACCGCGGATATACAACTTCTCGTATCTAAGGATAAATGAAAAAGGAGTCTCCCGCTTTGATGAATTTTTAGATATACTTAAAGTGAATAGTTACTTCATTTTTCGCAGATCGCATTGCAATACATGCGTTACGTTCAATCATCCTAGAGTATGCTACTAAGTCAGCCTCCTCCGACAATACACACACTGCGCTTTCACGTCAGAAGGTCTGAAACCATGGCAACGACGTCGGGAGGAGACAAATCACCAGGGCGACAGCGCATCAACAGCTTGTACGGCACGCTAGCCAAAGGGTCAGCGTTCACAAACTCTCGGCGGTACTCCCACGCCCCGCAGAGCCTGGGGGTGCCTTCTGTGGGGGTTGCCAGTGACCGCAGATCGTCGACCCAGGGGCGGCATCACAGGGGTATGAGCATGGACACGGCGTTTGCTGATATCAGCAAATCCGTGCTGAAAGGATCGCGGAAGCAGTCCACGGATAAGTCACGTCTCGGTCTCCCATTGATGGACGCTTCGACATTCGGACGTCGCCGGTCGCTGCGAGAGAGAAACCGAGGGACGTCGGATCCCACTCTGCCTGCGAGCGGCACAGAAGACATGGGACCCAGGAAGGCGTCCAATAAGTCCATCAAAAGTTTCAGCAGACAGTTAAAGGTGAGTAGTTTATAGCAAAACAGTGAATTATAGCAATTTTTTGTGATTTTTCTTCGCCCCCGCAAAACGGCATACGCCAACTGATGCTGGTTTCATTTCTAGTTGTTAATGACATTGCTTCAAATAGATTATATTAAACGACTGTATTTTAAATAGAAAATAGTGGATCCGGAATAGCATAACAAATATTTTGCCACATTCACCTGTACAACAACCTCTTTGGGGCACATATTTCAGGTACATCGATCTGATTAAAAAAAGATGCAACAATATCAAACGAGAGAAATAGGTGAAAACTGATGACGCCAATTACAACGTAAACTATGTTGCATTTAAAAGAGTAGTATTAACTAGTCGAACTATTTAAGATGCTGAGACGTAATCTGTGAACTAATAGATATACTGAAACGAGCCACATTCTTCTGGGGTTAAAAATGAGGTTTCTATCAATATAAGGCTCAAGCCCATAGCCAGCAATTTCAAAAGGGGGGTTCTTTTTCTGAAAAAGTGGACCTTTTTCCATAAAAATTTCACGTACCTAGATCAAATTTTACCCAGAGTGGACCTTTTCCCTGCAAAAGGGGCGGTTCTTTCGAACCCCCCGAACCCCCCCCCCCCCCCCCCGGCTACGGGCCTAAGGCTAGAGTTGATAATTCCATATGTCAATGTAGAACGATATAGCCCGTTAGAAAACAGTATGAGCAGATCATTTAATGTGTAATTAGAAAAAGCCAATAATCAACGAATCCAGTTTAATGGTAAAAATAATAATATCAGTGAAATAAATGATAACATGCTTGCAAATAAAAACGGAAAAAATAAAAGGAAGAGAAAGTCTTGAATTATTGACAGAAATTTGACACTAACCTGTCTCTATCTCTTCTGCATATACATTATACCATATACACACTATTAATAATAGATACGGTTGAAAAATAAAGACATAATTATAAGAAGCTGTGTCAATAGAAACATTGCGACACCTGCAACTTCCCAAAACAGCGTGAAAAGTATTGAAGCAAATTCATAGAGTGCTTCTAAAGAGAAATACTTCAGTCAATAGCAACAGAGTAGGTTTTCGTCTTTTTACACCTGAAGTGATATTGGCATAAATACATAGAGAAAATACTAGGTAATGCATAAAGAGCATTACGTTGCACTTGTCCCTTTTTTCCGAATAATTGAGTCGCATTGTAATAGATTGACAAGGGTATTCGGTTAACGTAATGCGATAGTGTAAATATTTAGTTTTATGTTGTTATTTGAACTACCAAATCCTTTCCAAAGAGACTGATAATAAGGTCGAATCGACCTCTTTAAATCTTTTTATATGATTGTCACAATTAACAGACGTGCACATACATATATGTTAGTGCAAAACAACGAATATTTCAAAACAAAATTTCATTCATATGATAAGGTATGATATTTTTATTACATTATTCGATATATGTAAAGTGATTTTTGTGCCGAAATGGGGGTTAGGAAATAGAACACAGCTTCCAGTTAATGTAAAACCCATGTTCGACATTCAAGCAACACAACGCACAACCATACGTGTTTGCATTCATGTTCATGTTTCCATTTGGACAGTATTTATTTTCTAATTTTTAAAAAAAAAGTTTAATCCCTTGCAGTTTGTAGAAACGATTAAAGCGAAGGCCCGCTCTGCCCGGAGGGTAAGGATTGTGTAAATATAGGTGTTGTCGACATTGCTTTCTGTTGTATCGAATTATCAAAACTGAGTTGGCCTATAGATGGATTGTTTTATAGCGCGTGATAAGTAGCCTCTACCACGTCCACAGAGATTTTTTCCAAAAAATAATAACGGATATTTTTTTTGGCTGTTCATTGGCTGAATACATTTCATATCCCGTGACCTCTGGTAGAGGGTAGGCTTACAGTGTACGTGGATAACATTACGTGTTAATTTATTGTGTAGATTCATCGGCTTAACTACTGTATATTAGTTATGCTATATTCTTTATTCATGTTTTTGTTTTCTTTTATGTATTTATCGTTATTGTAATGTAAGTGAAAGTGTACCGATAGTCATATACATGTAATTCTGTTATGAACAGGATTTACAGATCATATGGAACTGCTTCTCGTAAAACTCAGTTTCATTTATTTTTACGGTGGTGAATATGAAGGTAGGGCCCAATTCTCCCCCCCCCCCCCTCAGGTTTCACCTATGACGTAAAACAAAGTAAATGCAATGTTTGGTTTTAAAACCTGATTTTCTCGATAAACAATCAACCCAAACGGGAGGTTCTGTATATGGCCATCTTCATCCTCAATCGATCTCTACACCAAGGAGAGCACAGAACCCCCAGAGATACCGGAAACAGTAGTCGACAATTCAATAACAAAAGTACATTTAGCTAAAAAAAAACTATTCCTCACTGAATGTGCCCGTTTTAATTCCATAGAGTGCAAATGTTTGCACCTTCATTGTGGTTGGTGAGACAGGCGCCACTAACGCACTGATAGAAGCCTAAATTTTAGCTCTTTTAACAGTGAGGGTATTTTAAAGTATCATTACTGTTAGGCCTAATCCAACTTTTTGTTGCGAACAGATACATGTATAATAGTCCTCACCAATAAAAACTGCAATGAAGCCGTCTAATTTAGATTCAGACGCTTAAATGCAGTACTTGAGAGCAGGTTCAACGCAACTCTCTGAATACATCACCTTCACGAAAATATTCTGCTATGATCCCATTTTGTGTTGGCAAACATTTTGTGCAAATTATTAGAAAGCTACTTAAGTGTGTCACTGCTACGCTCGTTTACAGTTTTTGGCCGCAAGGTGTCCTTTGACGACGTTCCAAGATGAGCTCTTATTTTATCGTTACTGTACTTCGATCTAGAACTGAATCGCACCATGGCCAAAGTTTAACTGTCTCATGATGTTGAAAATATACTTTATATATGTATCTGTTTCGTTTTCTGATCATGAACAAACGAAGAATCGCCATGAGCTGTCATCGATTTTTTTAACCTTTTTAGAAGCGTTTCTCAGACGCGTGAGTTGAGAAATCTGTGGAAAGTCGCTTAAACATTTTTAGATGAAGAATTAAAGTTCTTCGTGAAACACAATTAACTGGCTACTTTTGACAGGTTTTGTTTACCTGAATTGTCTGAAATGTCACAGTTAAACATCTATTATTTATTTATTTATTTATTTATTTATTTTGGGTAAAACGGGGTCAGTGCGCAGCAACAACTATGTACATTCATTTTAAGTCAGAGATTTTCGGAAGGGTGTCCCTTTCATCTGGTTAACTTTACTTCTGTGCTACACAAAGACTGAGGAAATTATGCGTACCGAGTGTAGGATTGTGCACCGCTTCTTCTCTATCAGAACGTCACCCAGGATTGGTTTGATACTCTCCCCCTTCATAATTCAGAGAATTTCTGAACCCGACCCTGATGTTTTATTTTTTTTTCATGGCACAGAACACTTTTAAGCAAAATATAGCCTGACTTATTTACCAATAAAAACTTCATTTAAAAATCAGGTATCAAATTGAACGTTGTATTATAATCATCATTGTTATGTATTAATCAACTGATTTATGTATTGTAATGTTTTTACTTGGTATGCAACGTGCCACTTTTTGTAAACGTGACTGCATTAATTAGAGGTTATTTACTTTCTTATCAATCCAAACATTTATTTAGTTTGTACGCGACTTGACCCACTCTTTGAAACGTGTCCAGCGTAAGTTTGATGTTATCCTCTTCCAGTGCATGTGTACCAAGTTTATGGATCTTCTCCTACTGTCTGTAGTTTAACCACCTACCTTAAATTTTATAGTTGTGTAAGTTACACTGAGAAGCCTTGAGCGATAGATACAACATTCAGATGTATTAGTTATTTATCTGACCAAATGATAATTATTAATCAAAATTATTTAGTATACTTATAGTGTATTGATCAGGAAAAAGTAAGGAAAAAACTGAGAAAAGGTGGAAGTGTGTTAATTTTTTTTTCAAAAGCTGGTGCCGAATCCTTAATGGTTTCAATATAAAATTATTAAAAAAATAATAATAAAATGAATCTTATACTTGATTATTTTTTATCAAGTTCGTGCAAACGCTGAAGGAAAAACAACGGGTAAGAAAGAAATACTCCAAGAATGAATTGCATTTTGCTTGCGGTTTGGTGGTTTTTGTGTCCCATCTATCAAAAGATGATTTACATGTTGCTTGATTGTTTTTCACTCTGTGTGACATGACTCTGAATTTCTTTTACGTATAAGTGTTTTGAATAGATTGCCGTGGTGACTGTGTTTTGATTAGATAGGTGAAGTGCGTGTCGGGGAGGGGGGGGGGGGTTACCTGTTCAGGAACACGTTACATAATGCGCAGGCACGACTGTTGCTTGTATGACAAGTGTGGTTAAACTGGGTACATGACTCGGTGCATTTGAGAGCGCGATGTTGTTTTCTGTGCATTTTCTTACTTCTTATGTGTGTGTACGAGTGTGTGTGTGTTTGCTTGCGTGTGTGTGCTCGTTATGAATGTGTTTGAGCGTGCGCGAATGCTTGTTCAGTACGAGTGCGTGTCTGCGTCTTAGTGGATGATTTGCTGCCTACTCAAAACGGATTAGAATTTGATTAAAATTATGTTTTATATTTTTGTTGTTAGTGTGAGATGTGCAGCTTATGTAAATCTGATTATTGTTTTCTTACATTCATGTTTATTTATTGTATTAGTGCATCCATTTTTATCTTTTGACTTGCTTTAATGCTTCTCTCGGTGCGTCGATAATTTGCTGTCTGTCGGTTATAATATGTAGAGCAAAATGTGCAACAACTTTAAGAAGCTGCGACTGACATCGACCATCTGAACGACCACTAAATCTCGAGAAACATCTGCCTCGCCCTTGTTGCTCGTAAAACACGTCCGCGTTTACTGTGCCGTGAGCCACATTTTTCGAGACGCGGACCGTCCCATTTTTCATATTCTGTCATCAGAGGAGTTTATCCAAAAAGTGAGCGCGGTATTCAGATTACTGCCATCACATATGCTGCTTTCCTGAACCAGAGATGAAGAATTAGAGGGGAAAACATTCTCGAGAAACTGATTAGAAATCAGGTACGTATTACAACATCTTGGGGAGTTATTTAGACTTAGTATTGGTGAGCAACGTTATCCAAATGTGCACAAAGTTCACACACGTGTCATTTGTCTAGACGTAGTGCGTGAGGTACGTTTTTCACTCTTGTAGGAAAAATCGAGTTCTTTTGTACTTACAGTTTATCGTTATACGTGATGCCTCTCTCTCTCATATTTAATTATGTTCATCGTATACAGTATCTGTCTACCTGTACATAGACATATATCGATTATATTGTCTTTGGGTATGTCTTTAGATAATATATATAGAAATATCAAATATGTGCCTCCCTTTGGGTCTGTTGTCCTCAAATTAACTGCCGTTTTATTATGATTCACCATGGCAACAAAGTACCGCGCTGCAGGCAACGAGTGTTCTCATTTTTCACGGCTTGTACTTTTTATGGCATAAAACAATACATTTGAAAAAGTGACTTTTAGAGTTAAATCGATTAGTAAACAGATTTCTCTAATCATATTCCTTGGTTATCAATGTAATCTAAGTTTTGAAATTTTGAAGAAAAATTCGGTACGTATATCAAAAAATATTACCAACATTGAAAGGTGGCTGATAAACTCATAAACTGCCTAAATATCAGAAGCACTTTTATGTGCAGAATTGTTCATTGGTTTTTAAAGCTGTTAATTAATTTTGCTTGGAATCTCCCTAAATTTCAGAAGCACTGTTATTTCCAGAATTGTTCATTGGTTTTTAAATCTGTTAATACATTTTGCTTGGAATCTCATGTAATTTTTCTGCCTGTTTCAGTCGCCATGAGAAAATGGAGAGGAGTTGCGAGGAAAGCAACATCGCAGAACTTGGTTCTCTCTTGCCAGAGAGAAAATGTAAACGGCTTAGAGGGACACAGTCTCTTCCTACAGAGGGCGACACGGAGACGGTGTCGGCGCGGGGTGAATAATAATAATAATAATAATAATAATGATGATGATGATGATATGAAAAGGGTATTAGTGACTTTATTAATTACTAGTAATAGTGTGAAGTTTCATGTGACTGTTATGAGTAACAGAAAGGGTGAGAAACAACGTCCGAGTGCTTAGCTTCAGGAGGAATCTCGAGACCTATAGAATAAAGGTGGAATAAGCTATCTAGTGCGTGGGGATGGGGAATAGATGGAGAAGCCACCTTTTCGAAATCAACAAAATTAGTGGACCTACCGGTACCAATGCAAGCGTGGCAAATTTTAATTAAAATACTGTAGATGTACATGTATGTTGGAAGTTATCGGATAAATGTTAAAACTTTCTTTGGCAACATTAAAACAACATTCCAACAAAATTCCAGCCATTTGTCTAAAGCAATGAAGCATTACTCTATGCTTTACTCAATGTACCAGCAGTAAAACCAAGGTGTTGTATATTGTTTCCCTGGGTAGCAAAAACGAGTAACCCTCTTTAGCTCAAGAACTTTAGAGTTCATAGTGCATTTGGCGTGGAGCATTTTGTTCACCCACCACTCCTAAGGGGAGGTATTGTCGAACACGGAATTGGCGTGCTTCGGTGGGCTTTGTAAAGACATAAATTTCACGCAAGTAAGCAAACGATTTCACGATGAATAAATATGTTTTCAATTGCATGCGTTCACAGTTGTTTTTTCTTCCTCCGTTTGTCAAATGGCTCACAAGTATCGTCATCTTTTATGCAACATTTCTTAGAAGTTTCGGTTTAACGATCCCACTGGAACACATTAATCACATGTTGTGACTAGAGTTGTTTTTAGGGTTAAATATATTAGATAAACAAAATATTTTTACAGTACGTGAAAAGGGAAGTAGAAAAAATAGAATATGATTTAGGATCAGAAATGCACACACGTCTTGTATTGCGAAATGCTAAAAACCTTTGCAGCACAAGGGTTTATAAGTCCGATGAGAGACACTTACAAGCGTCTTTCTGCGTTTCAGCTCCAAGAATTAATGAAGAAATTCAGACGTGCAGCTCGCCTCGCCATTTTCTGCAGACGACAAACTCTAGCGCATTCTTTGAGGTAATCGCCTTTTTGTTTCATTCTATTCTAGGAAATAGGGGCTTGTATTATAAAACTGCGGAAATAATTTCAATTGAAATTCTGATTAATGCATTTCTTAACTCTTAAAAGTTAATTTAATCTCAGCATTATTTTTGTTGCTAAGTGCTTAATTTGTAAAAGAAAGGGAAGGAAAGTGAACGTGAGAAAGAAAACGGTAAAGATCTAGTGCACGTGAAAGTAGGAAAACGTAGAAATTTTGAGAACAAATAAATTATCAAGTTTGCGAATCTCAATCCCGCAAGAAATATATTTCTTTATATTCTAATATTCACTTATTTGATAAAATAAATACTTTTACTTCAAACTGTATTTAACTCATAAATACTTTTCAAGAATAAGCTTAGATCTGCGCCTTATATTTTAACTTCCTGGGTACAACAACCGCAAAATTGTTTTTATAAATTATTCTTGTTTTCCAGAAACAAAGAACACGATGAACTTCTACCCTTTATCCGGGACCTAAAATTTACGGATTATCAAGATTTTGGAACGGCACTTGATGTTGATATTTGGGACGGGTTCAACCCAAACGACTTCAAAGCAAATAGACAGGTAAGTCATGATTTATTGTGTTCAGTGAGAAATAAGTAATAAAACGCTACTTATCCCAGTAGATGAGCAACTTAATCAGCGGGTGTTTAAAGGTTCTCAATAGCAAACCATTTGAAAGACCAAAAATTACCTTCGCCAAAGAAAATAGTTTTCTTCCACGTTGAAAGCATTGTTTGGTACCAAGTATTGAAATGGATATAATTATAAAAATCAACGAAGGTAATTCTATGTATTTATTTATCTATTTGTTTATTTATACAGTTACGTCTCTCGGAGGAGGCCAAGAGGATCCTGACCAAGCCATCCGGAGAAAGGACGGAACAGGAACTGAATTATGTGAGTGACGCTGTCTCAGATAGATGACCCCCATATTTGATTTATAACATTATTTGTTACTGAAAAAATGTACAGGCATTGGATGTGATATACATTGGCAATTTTCTAACGTAAATTTTGATAATTATCTGTTCGAAGCCAATATTCCAGTTTTTACTTCTGCACACAAAACACAGAATCTACACCCGTTTTATATGTTTTAACCTTGTTTTAATCATAATTTTATCATTATCATTTTATCACAATCATTTGATGCACGTACCATTATCATTTTATAGTTTGATCGTCCCGAGCTTTCTTGCGTCCGTGTGTGTTCTCTCTCTCTCTCTCTCCTGCCTCTGTCCACCTCTCACTCTATGTGTTTTGCAGTAAGGTCTATTGAACTTGGTTAGCTAATAGATACTTTATTTACAAATAATAACCCCTTAACTCTTGCTTTCCGATAGGTTGAGATATCTCTGCGGAATATTAAGGCTTACAGTGACTACACAGTTCGAATGCAGAGGAAAATTGCAGAAGTGGGAATGTACGAAAGGTGAGTTGTTTTATGGAAGGGTTTTCCCTAGGACAACTCAGAAAGGTCTTTTAGTCACGATTACAAGAGATTCTTGTTGAGAAGGAGTAATGGAAGTGAGGGAAGACGATTGCGACAGAGACGCTTGGTTACTATGAACACAATTGGTTGTGCTTTGATCAAATGTTACATTGTGGTATGTAAAGTGTAAAGTGAACTACACAGTTAACGATTGCGATTTGACCGATGTGAGCGGTGTGTCCGAAAAACTGATACATTTTTCAATATAAATTGTTCTTTTTTTTAGATTTGAAGCGAAGAGAATAATTGTGCGTCAAAGTCACCCACCAAATGCGTTCTATATTTTACTCTCAGGATCGGGTAAGTTGCAATTTTATGGAAATAATATCATACTCGAAGAAATATTAAAATGCTGCATAAAAGAGATCTGGTTTTTAAGAAGGCCTTCACAAGAATCCGCCCTATTAAACGCCGTATTAAGGGGGGTGCAGAAGGCACATACCACTTCTTGGCGGATTATCGAGCAAAGGAAATCGAAATCAACACAAAACATTTTTATGCCTACACACAGTATTAAAGTATCCATCGTTTGACTAATACAAAAATATATGTGCCGCGCCATAAAAAAATCTGGATCTGCCAGTGTTATCAAGATATTTTTATTGATTATTATTATTATTATTGTTATTTATTTATTTATTTATTGAAAACGTCGATAAACAATTACATTTTATGTTACAAATAACAAAAAAATTATTCTTTTTCTACAGTCGTTGTTGTCGTGATGGACCAAGAGACACGGGTGGCAAAGCCGGTAGCAATCTTAAAGAGGGGTCGAGCGTTCGGTGAACTGGGCTTGATAAACCGTACACCACGCCAGTCGTCGTGTATAGCAAAAGAAACCGTGGAGATGCTCAGCATTTCAATACAGGTAATTGGCCGATTCATGTATGGTTATTCAAACGTTTAGTACATTTTATAAAGATTTAGACAGCTTTTCATATCGGCTGACACTAACTGCTGCTTTCGGGTTTGAAATCGTTGGCTATAATTTCTTGTCATGAGTGAACTTCCACCAAAACATTTTATGTAAATTTATGTATGTTCGTAGAGATAAAATAAAAAAAATATGAGTAAGATTACAATTCTGAAATACCATTCCAAAACCATTCCAAAATATTTAACACATTTATTTGTATTAAAAATGAAATTCATTAAATTTAATTTGGTTAAAATTTAAAAAGATCAAACATTATAACATTTTGAATTTTAGGATTTTCGTCAGATTTTCATGACTGGAGGAGACGACGACGAAGAGTTAATTGAGTGAGTATGCAACTGAAGTAAAAGTTTTCATAAGAATTCAATTATTCTTTTTTAAAGACATACAAAGCTCGAAGTAGAAAAATACCCAGGAAGTTTCAAATATTTTACCTCAATAATGCTAATTTTACGTTAATATTGCAATTTCCAGTAAACATTATTTTGCTTCATTGGGACCTAACACAAATGGTGTGCCCTTACTACATGTTGACCTTTGCAATGAAATATTCATTCCAGTTGATACCCATCGTGAGATGTGATGAGTCTTTTTATTTTTAAAACAATTTTAATGAAATAATTTATATTTTGCCGCAGGAAATTGGATTGTTTTAACGGATGGCCAGTGCAAATTCTTGAGTCCAATCCAAAGAAACTGATGCATCACTTTTTCAAGTAAGTACGGTATTTAGCATGAAATTATCTATATTTTTCAATATAAAATGTACCATGTAAGTACCCAACTCCCAACAACATGCTGCTGTGTTGGCTTCATTAACGGTCCGTTCAAGTTAAAGTGGTATTTATATGTTACAAAAATGGCGAAAAAAAATAACCAGAACAAATTTGGCGTATTTCAGTTCCCACCCCACACAATAAGAAGTATTTCAGTCGATCGCGTTGCGTTTGTTTAAAATCTTAATTTAGACATCTTATTTTCTAGGAAAGGAGATGTCGTGGTTAAGGACAGTAACTATTCTAATTGGATTGTAGTTGTAAAGTCGGTAAGTCTGGAACGTTTTCTTCTTTTATTTACAAATTTCTACAGTTTCTTTGTTTTATTGTTAAACTATAAATTTCTGCAGTAAGAGTTAACGTTGTGAAATTTGTACCAGGTTATAACATAATGATACTTTCAACAATTATTATTAGTAGTAGTAGTCTATTTTATCTATTTGCTATTCAATGCCGGATGTTTTAGTTATAGTGATTACTTTAATTCTAAAAGTGAGTTAAAGAACATTAGATACATTTTCAAGAACTGTGTGAACACTGAAAAAAAAATTCAGCTGATAACTTGAAAGTTTACATTACCCTTTCTGTAAATAAACTCTTCTGGGGTCTAACACTTGAAGCATTTGTTTTGTTACTTTAACTTCATGGGATTTAGTAAGATTCGTAGCGAAAGTCGTTTACTTTTTCCTCCAGGGCCACTTGCACGTGCTGAAGAAATTAAGAAAAGTTGGCGCTTACGAGTGGAAGCGAACATATTCAGGTAGGTTTCCATGGCGATAGGGTTCTGTTGCCGTATTTATGTCACGACAACAAGATATATTGCCCAAAGATATATTGCTCAAAAGTGCGATTTATTTGATGAAACCAGAAATCTCTAAGAAAGTAATTATGTGGCAACTGATTTCAGGGCACAATGGAATTAACGATTACGTACCACTGTAGTTCATTAATTGTTATAAAGATGGGCCCGTTTCACAAAAAAATTCAACCATTTTCTTTAAACTTAAAGGCAAAACTTAAGTTAACTTTGACATCAGAAAGGCAATAGAAGTTAAATCAAATGGGATGTTAAATTCACAGTGCCCCTGTTTTATGACATGGAAGACATGTACAGCGTTTGAAACTTATACTTGATATTAGTGGGTTACTGTGCTTTTATCTCGAATTTAAGTAGACCAAAAATGTAAAATCCTTAAATGTAAAATAATTGTATGGTCATGTATTTGAACATAAGTCCTGCACCTCAAAATGCCAATGAATGTAAAACTTGACTATTGCGTCTTTTTTTACCAGTTGTGAATATTAGTAATTATTTGACTGTGTCTTTGTTTTGAAAAACAACACAGTCAGGCAGTAAAAGATCTGATATTGTTTAAATCCTTGCATTCCATTCATTTCTGTATCGTATTATTCAGTCGGACGACCGGATACGACATATGATCCGCTCTCCGGATTCGGTTTTAAGTTTCCCTTTCCGGATGGGCCAGTCGGTACGGTGTTCGGATATTGTTGTTGTTGTTGTTGCTGTTGATTTTCTGTTATGAACATTATATTTTTTGAGGTTTTCAATGGTTCCTCAACGTTGTTATTCTTCACTGCTGTATGCGTGTGGTATATTAATGTCTCCTTTTGTTTTTGGATTTTCCAACATGGCCTTTTTTAAATTTGTATTGACATTTGGTATATGCGTATCACTGTATTTAGTTTTCAAAATTTAATTAAATCCTTGACGTCATACTGCATGGCCCATTTTACACTCTATGTAGACGTGTGAAAAGGTTTGTTTAAATCTATAAAACTATATTTTACAGTTTTAAGTTTGATGTAACCGTAAAAAAAGTTAAACAACATCTTCAAATTTTTGCGGATGCAATCACATGTAGAGATCCAAAATATGAGTTGTAAACGGGCTTAAAAAACTATTACTGATCATATATGAATGTAATTAAGGGATATGTACACTTATTGAGGGGTGGCTGAATTTTATTACACTGTATGTGTTTTCAGACTTAAGTGAAGCAGAGAAAAAGAAGAGGAATAAAGCAGAGATGAGGGAATATCGCCTTCAGAAAAACTTTTTGCTCAAATACATCTTGCCCGAACTGAAAATACCCCTTAAACCTACAGAGACCGAGGAACCAACAAAATACCGACGATCTTCGGTGAAAATAAGTGGCAATTTGCCAAAACAGGATCCCACCATAAAAGATGTTCAGTTAACGACAGAAAGTTTTGCGTTGCCAGACATTGGCCAAAGTGACAGTCTGGTCAGACGACACACTGACATGCCAGAAAAATCTCCACCAGGGGATGCTAATAATAATGACACGACACGTTCTAAATCAATGTTAGAAACTGTGCAGACGACGTATGATATTGACCCAGTGGAGGAAGTAGCACACGTTAACACGCCACGTGGTACAGTATCACCACGTGACAAAGTGTCACCACGTTACCACGTATCACAACGAGACCAGGAATCACCACGTGATCCAGGATCTCCGCAGCAGCCAAAATCCAAAAGGAAATCCAATAAAAGTCCAACAAAATTAAAAGGTATTTGTGTGTTGTGTCGGTGGTATCTGTACGTGTTTACATGACTGCCTCATACTTACAGCATAGTTTGCTAGACATTTAGAAATCTACAGCACAGTTGTCTACCGTTTAATAAGTGTAGTCCAAATCAAAGCAAAACTGTTATACCCTTGACATCCCCACCCCCTGAGCGAAATTCTGACTCCACCACAGGCTTTTTAAAATTAAAATAAATATTATTTGTAGACACGTTTCAATATCATGCAAAGACGTGAACTCCATATTTCTCCATTTCAGTAAAAGAGGATAAAGACGAGGACGAAAAGAAAATCCAGCAGCAGGTCAGGACGATAAACGACGACTTAAACGCTGAATACAAGAAGGACGAGGAAGACATGACAGACGCCGACAGGAACCCCGCCTTCATCCACGTGCAGACCCTTTCACGGGGAGATGTTTTTGTAGGTTTATAAACTGTCGAATGAGTGAATAACATCTTAAATATTTTTATAAGTCAAAATCAATCTAGCACACTGTTGAATTTGACTTGTTACGGTAAAATGAAATTTAAGAAATCGAAAATGATTTTATAGATTTTTTCACGGATAAATGTGGCAAGGGTATGTCTTACTTGTTTAGGAAAATTGTTTAAAATTCCAGAAAAGTACATTTTGCATGTTGACGTGGAGTGGGCGTGGCATGCCTTTGAGTTAAGATGGAAATTTTAACAATTATTAATAAAAAAAATCACCTTATTAAATTGTTTTATTATATTATAATAATATTAATTTCTTCAGGGACTAAACCAATTCGTGTTGGGTAACCAGCCCAGTTTCTGTGTGATGAGTAACGGCGCTGAAGTGATGATGATTAACAAGCAGTTTTACCAGGATAATGCTCCAGAGAAACTCATAGCAAGACTCCGACGACGGGTAATTTAATTGTTTTGAAAGTTTTATTGTTTTGTTTATAGCAAGATCTGTCATAGTAGCATCTCATGTAATAAATAATAAATAAACATACAAATAAATAAATAGTAAGCTATTACGACACATGAATGGCATCCTCTATAGCCATTTTTTTAAATTGATACCGATATTTAGACATAACTCATAGAGACTGTCCTTAAATCTTCGAATATAAATAGTGCATATTAAACAACTGTATTACTTATCATTACAAGCATTTCGTACCAACAATAAAATCATCAAAATGGTAAAATCATTTTTTATTTATTTATTTATTTCAGCTGGCTCCGTATCCTACCGATGATGAAATGCAGGACAACCTTCAGATCAGCGTGGATTGGGACGCTTATAAAGGAGAGGCACTCGGGAGAACGCTGGCTGACATTGAGACGAAAAAGAAAATGGCGCAAACTATTTCACCTCGGTGATAAGGTCGCTGTCAGAGATGACCGTAACCTTGATCTACTTTTTTTTTTAAATAATATTCCCAATAGGATTACACTAAATCAACGGAGAGACGAAGTCATAGTCAATATTTTAAATCCTGTCTTGATAATTTTTTTCTATATTATAAGGAAACAGCTTTACTAATATTTTTAGCATGAAGAGAATGCTGTGAACGTGCCGCTGCGCATGCGTGTGCCTGCACATCTTGTTGATTCTCAGTTATCAGTCAAAGATTAACAACTTACGTTATAACAATAGTTTTATTAAACATCATCAGATAACCTACGAAAATTATTTGGATAAGGTGGATTAAATTATTTATCTGACGAATAAGTGTGCTGAAGGTGACGCAAGAGCAGTCGGGCAAAATTTAATTAAAATCTAAAAATGCCCATGATGTCAGATACAGTGTACAAGACTCAAAATGCAAAAAAGCACGTTTTTTTCTTGAAGAAAGAATACTATTATGATTTGTTTAAGAGAGGGACTGTATGAGGATATTCAACGTTATACTTTTATTCCGAATTTGCTCATAATATAAGGCAGATTTATATTGCTGCTTTGTCTATACAGTTGTCGTGCCAAGAAAAATTAAGTTTATTTTGAAATTATAAACTGCTATTAAAGTCTAAATGCGTTATGTTATGATACAAGCATCTATGTAATGATCCAAAATGATAGGTCTATCGACTGTTAAGCCCCCTTTACACTGGACGGCGTCCTTTCTGCGACCCATAGAACACCCCCGTTTGAGAGTTTAAAAAAATAATACTTTGCGTGCCGACAACTGGTCGCTCATTGAGTATTCATTCTGTAACCAAAGCGACGCTTGCTTTCTACGACCACGGCGATGCCAGTTTCACGGTAGCACAAAGGACGCGGAAAGGCTGCCGTCCAGTGTAAAGCGGGTCTTAATAAAGAGGGTATATTTTATCAGTTTTATGTGAATAGCTTATCTTCAACGGTCAGTCCTGTTATACATGTAGGCCTACTCTAATTTAGGTAAGTTGTTGTTATCGATACAGATTTCATTATGAACAAAGAATTCAGTCATTCAGAAATTTTCCCGATATGATTATCAATATAGAGATGGAATTTCAAACAATGGGACGGTGCGCTTGTAATCTCAGTGATAATATAGCGAGCCATACAGTACGATCACTCTTCTTCCAAAACCTGGATTGCACCTCCAATAAATATTATTGCAGTATATGAAACTTATAAGGGGGTCTAGGATTTTTTTTGGCGAATCTAGGGTTTTGCTCTGGATGGGTGGCTTCGATTTGGAAGCATGGAACAATAGACAAGGAAACGAGGATACATATATAATTCTGAAAATTTTACTGTGTACGTCTTGGGAGGAAAATCGTTTGATTTTGTCTCGTTTCGCTTGATTTCTTTTTCTACGTCTCTCTCTCGTTCGCTCTCGGTGTCTCTCTTTTTATTTATTTATTTTTGGTTTAGGGGTGGGGGATACGTGTAGGTAGGGACATGCGCACGCTGTACCCCTTCTATTAATGATGTGTCAAAGCAATGAGAGGGTAGTCACGTGCAGTAAAATAACCCTTACCTGGTTCAACCTAATTGTAAAGAATTGCCATTTGGCTGTCACTTTCAGTCGTGCAATGTACCTCTTTCTTCATAAACTCTGACACAAAGGACGCATTATTCAGAAGGCGAGTGGATTTATCTAAAGAAATGTATGTACAAACATACACCCATTGATCATAAGTGGGTCAACAACAAGTGCGCCAGTCCCTTCTGCAGTGTCAATAACCCGTGTGCTGTAACGATTTTGAATTAATAAAAATAATGGTGAATAATAACAACAACAACAATTATAATAATAACAGTATTTATCCCTTGCAACCGAAAATAGTTTCGGTCATATGTTCCTTCCTCAGTACGGGATTTTATCAGGATGACTAGTGGGCGTTTATCAGATTTCTAAATTGTGTACCTCACACAATACACGCACAAAGGTGACGCAGGTAGTGTAGCAGCAGCAGGTCACTGTTACAGGAAACGTACCACGGTGTCATACTAAATGGCAGGCTGCAGTTAGTCTGGGTAGTTCGCGTATAGGATATAGGATATTCACTATCACAAATAGCCAAGCTCAACTCGAACTGCGCCCAGATTAGGTTTACAAGGGAGAGTTATATAACTTGTATTAGTGAAGGTGGATATCGATACAAGTGACCCAGGTGCTTCACGTGTGTCGCTTTTACTACGTGCAATGTACCTGTAGATTCAAGATGTCGACGCCGCGTATTTCATGGCTTCCTATGCTGTTTACGATATGAGGCGACGATATGGCCCCTCTGTAAAAGTGGCACTGGATCATTAAAATAAGGACACTGCTAAATCTACACGGCACGGTACTGTTGTAAATGACAAAAAATGTTGACGTACACTACAATATGAGCTCCAGTGTCAACAGTAACCTACAGAAAGCAATCATTGATTTCATCTCTGTATAATATACTGGTAGGTCTGCAATGTATATTCGATAAAATTAACTATAGCATTCCATATACATTATTCATTAAAAGCCAGTATACCGAGATCAACTACATCAACAGGTGGCTGTAATAAGATAACATAGATGCTACGTGGTAAAGTTACAGAATATGGCAGGGTCCATGCGGAGTGTCATTCGAGGAGTTTTCGCCCTCAGTCTTGTCGTCTGCCAGGTCATCTCCCTCGTGCGTCTCGGCCATGAAAACAACATCAACGGAGTACTGTTATTTCTACTTGAATTCCTCTTAATTTCATCTCTTATACTGAAGATGACTCATCCGGCTTGGGATATCATCTACGAGTCGACACTCGGTGCTATTTTGGGGATTCTCACGGGAGCTGTTGATGCCTTCGGTAAAGATCGGCTACTCACGGGTGCTTCCGCCGATGGGGATGCAGACGACGATGTGACTGACTATCCGGTTGAGTCGTATTTCACAGGAATGGCATTATTCACAGAGCATTTTCAAGCAGTTTTAGTGTCAGGTGTGTTACTCCCTAAAATCGGACTAGAAGGCGTGAAAATGTATCAAATGTGGGAAGTTAACCTTAGGTTCCACAACGTTTCAGACACGTACGGACTCACTGTTTTTATTTATTCGATACCAGGACTCGTCATTGTTCTGTGCATCTTACTCTACTGTGTGCGACCGTTGGTGCTAGTTTTACCTCTGGCGGTTCTCCTGTATCTATCATCATTTGTATTGGGGTGGTTTCTGTGTTATTTGGCGCTAATATTCTGCAACGGGCGGAACACCATATTCCTCCTCACAACCGCTGCGCTGCTGTGGGATTTAATTTGGCAAAGCATATGGATCTACAAAGCACATGCATGGCCTTGTCTCCCCGTACTTTTCACCAGNGTGGATTTATCTAAAGAAATGTATGTACAAACATACACCCATTGATCATAAGTGGGTCAACAACAAGTGCGCCAGTCCCTTCTGCAGTGTCAATAACCCGTGTGCTGTAACGATTTTGAATTAATAAAAATAATGGTGAATAATAACAACAACAACAATTATAATAATAACAGTATTTATCCCTTGCAACCGAAAATAGTTTCGGTCATATGTTCCTTCCTCAGTACGGGATTTTATCAGGATGACTAGTGGGCGTTTATCAGATTTCTAAATTGTGTACCTCACACAATACACGCACAAAGGTGACGCAGGTAGTGTAGCAGCAGCAGGTCACTGTTACAGGAAACGTACCACGGTGTCATACTAAATGGCAGGCTGCAGTTAGTCTGGGTAGTTCGCGTATAGGATATAGGATATTCACTATCACAAATAGCCAAGCTCAACTCGAACTGCGCCCAGATTAGGTTTACAAGGGAGAGTTATATAACTTGTATTAGTGAAGGTGGATATCGATACAAGTGACCCAGGTGCTTCACGTGTGTCGCTTTTACTACGTGCAATGTACCTGTAGATTCAAGATGTCGACGCCGCGTATTTCATGGCTTCCTATGCTGTTTACGATATGAGGCGACGATATGGCCCCTCTGTAAAAGTGGCACTGGATCATTAAAATAAGGACACTGCTAAATCTACACGGCAAGGTACTGTTGTAAATGACAAAAAATGTTGACGTACACTACAATATGAGCTCCAGTGTCAACAGTAACCTACAGAAAGCAATCATTGATTTAATCTCTGTATAATATACTGGTAGGTCTGCAATGTATATTCGATAAAATTAACTATAGCATTCCATATACATTATTCATTAAAAGCCAGTATACCGAGATCAACTACATCAACAGGTGGCTGTAATAAGATAGCATAGATGCTACGTGGTAAAGTTACAGAATATGGCAGGGTCCATGCGGAGTGTCATTCGAGGAGTTTTCGCCCTCAGTCTTGTCGTCTGCCAGGTCATCTCCCTCGTGCGTCTCGGCCATGAAAACAACATCAACGGAGTACTGTTATTTCTACTTGAATTCCTCTTAATTTCATCTCTTATACTGAAGGTGACTCATCCGGCTTGGGATATCATCTACGAGTCGACACTCGGTGCTATTTTGGGGATTCTCACGGGAGCTGTTGATGCCTTCGGTAAAGATCGGCTACTCACGGGTGCTTCCGCCGATGGGGATGCAGACGACGATGTGACTGACTATCCGGTTGAGTCGTATTTCACAGGAATGGCATTATTCACAGAGCATTTTCAAGCAGTTTTAGTGTCAGGTGTGTTACTCCCTAAAATCGGACTAGAAGGCGTGAAAATGTATCAAATGTGGGAAGTTAACCTTAGGTTCCACAACGTTTCAGACACGTACGGACTCACTGTTTTTATTTATTCGATACCAGGACTCGTCATTGTTCTGTGCATCTTACTCTACTGTGTGCGACCGTTGGTGCTAGTTTTACCTCTGGCGGTTCTCCTGTATCTATCATCATTTGTATTGGGGTGGTTTCTGTGTTATTTGGCGCTAATATTCTGCAACGGGCGGAACACCATATTCCTCCTCACAACCGCTGCGCTGCTGTGGGATTTAATTTGGCAAAGCATATGGATCTACAAAGCACATGCATGGCCTTGTCTCCCCGTACTTTTCACCAGTTTGCCTTTTCATCTTCTACGCAGGGAAACAGTCTCCATCTTTCCGGTGAAGCAGTCGTGGTGCCATGTCTTGCACGAAATGGCGCCATCATGCGCGTGGAGTCACTTGATCAGTTTTCTCGTAACTTACGCAATCACTGGCATCATTACATCCAAAGAAAATTGGCAAACGGACTTCTTATTAGGATGTATTGTAACCTTCGTTATTGGGGTTCTAATAAGTGAAGAGAAAGAAATTGGGAGTTGGCCCTCTGCCCTGGGTCTATTCACGTTGACAATTCTTTATTCATTTTCCATTCGAAAAATTCAAAATCCATTCCTGGTGGACGATATGGTGCTTACTGTTTGTATGTACGTTGCCTGGAGACGAAAGGATAAAGACTTCTTCATAGACAGACGAAACAACGTTCCTTTAAAAACGGTTTCTATGAGGTACTGAGAAATGGAAAATTCACATTTCAGAAGAAAAGGGTGAAGTAATGGGATATGTCTTTTTAATTATCATTAAAGTTTAATTGCTTTGTCACACATTTTGTGCGCTAACTTACAGTTAAAGCTTACAGGTATTGTTATTGCTTTATTTTTTTCTCATTTTTTTCAGTAAACACTTTTTAAAAAAATAAATTATATGTGTTTGTTGTGACTTATATGTTATCATGAATATTTTATTCTTTGTGATTGTAATATTTTCTAATTATGTCCCCTGCATTTTCTGTAACTTATATGTAGATCGCTTCAGATCTCTCGTTTGAACAAAACTGTTGGTCGACCGTGGAAAAGAACGTATAAATAAAATGAAGAAAGCTTACTACCACGTTGTCAGGAAAAAAGATTGGTGAAAGGAGGTTTAAGATTATTGTACATAGCTCAAAATTAATTCCCTGGAACTTTTTATACCTTGTCATTCATCAAGAAGGTTTACATGTAGCCTATCCAAAACTGCTGAGAAAATGCCAATCTATCTATATATCTAGTTTTGAGCTCTTGTATTCTTATTTTTTATCATCACGAGTGAAATCCATAAGTCTTCATCTCCATTTCGGGAGTGGCTCAAAAATGAGAAATTTTGATCAAAAAGGAAAAAAAATAAACGATTTACAATGCGTATTTTTTTCTACGACTTAGGAATTGATACACCTTGGTAGTGAGGGAAAGTGTTGAAAATTCCAGAAAAATGCTATACAGAAGGCTAACATACATTTAAATGTCTGCGATTTTAAAAATTATTTAACAGCCCCCCCTCCCCCCAAAAAATCCAAGTTTGCCTTCTCACATGCATAGGTGCCATGATTTCCTTTTATTTAGAACTACAGGCAGACATGTGATTGCACAACAACTTCGTGCAGAACGTGCATAATTTGTTTTGCAAAAGTTTCATTCAATCTTGAATAATATTATAAAATCAAAATTTGTTATTTTCATTTTTATTTACAAGAGATGCAGCTATGACAACCGGCCCTCTCTGTCTGTGACATAGTTGTAAAATGTATTTCCCACCATCAAATTAGCAGCAAGATATTCGGAGGTCTATTATATTACTTTGTTGTCAAACCAATAAACCACACCAGAGTAGTCCCCCCCCCCCCCACTCTCCCTACCTCATTTCTCAACCATTTAAGAAAATGCTTCTGGGTATGAAGGATCTTTATGAAGTGTAGGTCTTTTTGGTTCTCTTAATTATTTTTCCATCAGTTAAGCGTTTGTCTCAGCCCACTGCTCGTCAATATTTCATAATTTTTTTATTGATTCAAAGCTGTTTAGTGAATTACACTCTCGATAAATAATACCCACAGTTATATTCTTATGTTTTAATCAGCGTGAGTATTTGCCAATCAACATTTGTTTTATCGAAATGGATCTTATGCAGGTACCATATGCAGCTGTAACGCAAATTGATGCAGTTTACCCGAAATAATAAAAACAAATGCCGGAATAACAATTCATTGCAGTTTATCTTCAGACAAGTAATTGGAAAACAAGTGATTTGTTACATTTTTTTAGCCCAAACACTTTCTCTTTTTGAAAAAAGAAACGCTGCATGACCTTGACCTCTCAGGTGAAGGCCGATGAACTTTATGCTAAGCACTGGGCTACGTTGTTGACGCACTCGTTAGTGCCGTCGCGACGGATTTTTCCAGGAGGACATTGGCAGGTGACGCCGGGAACGCAGTTAAAAGTGCAGGCTCTTCTTTTTTCAGGTTGGCTACAGGTGCGCTCACACGCTGTGGCGCAGTCTGTCCACACCAGATCCCCGGGGCAGCACTGATCCATGGAGTCGAGGCATGCGTTCGTGCCGTCCTTGCGGATTTTCCCTGCGGGGCATTGGCACGTGTCAGGGATGCAGTTCTTGGTGCAGACACTGACATCCGGTCGATTACAGCTACGCTCACATGCGGTGCCACATTCCGTCCAAACAAGGTCACCTCGACAGACTGTGAGGAGATAGATACAATTGTCTTAGAAAACGACTATGACGTCTTAATATAGAATCCTATGGAAAATAAATTGCGTTTCTCAAATTTTCAACGAGACCCCTTACTTTTGCTTTTACTTTTAGAAGTGACAATATTTCATTTAAGTTTTAAAAATGTCTACTGGGACACAGGCGTTTGTGAAACGCTCTTCCCTGATCAATATCGTAAAAACCTAAGCGTAAAAAGGCCTTCAATCAAAACCAAAAATCTATACAATCACATAATAATAATAATAATAATAATAATGAGAAAATACATGCGTTTTGTTGTTTCTCTATTATCCTAGAACATACTTTTGTGGGTTGGAGAATAACTGAGTTAATTGTTACAAAAAATAAAGCATTCATTGTGTCTCATTTTTCATGTAATGCTCTTTATAACGAATTTCTGAAGACTTTGTTTTGCTCATGTGGCTGAACAAATATGATCTTGACGGAAAACAATGCGGGCGTTCCTTACCTCTAGGGGCGCATTCGACTTGTGCGACTGCAACAAACAGTATCAACACTACAATACACTTCATGTTGATGAATTATCTGGAACAAAATGATATTTTATTAACTAAACAAATGATATTAACAAAAAAAAAATAATATGGCTACTGCTTCTTGCTGTTGTTTCAATCAGATAAAGAACACGCTTCAATTTTTTTAGTGTAGATGTATAATCTCACCTCATAGAAATTTAATAGAAATTAAAGAATAGAATTCCACTATTTTCTTTCGGTTACTGATAAGTAAAAAAAAAACATAGATCAGTCACATCTCTGCGATGAAAGCAGCTGACAGAAAACGGCCAGATTTGCTGATTTAAGTGACAGTATTTACTGTTTGAGAGGGCATTATAAAACAGTTTATGACTGTGTCCTCGGGAAGTACGACTCAATAAACACTTCGCAACAACCTATTTTCCTCTCTCTGTTTCCCAGTGAATTCGTTTGTGCATTCAGTGCCAATACAACTACTATCTTCGATAAAATATACAATATAACTAAAAATAGTACTAAAAAGTTGCAAACATAGACTGTCAATACTTTTTATGGTGTACAAGAACTGTCCACATGCGCCATCGATGGATGTGTTTACACTTTGCAAATATGTACCTACCTGCGTTTTCCTACAGACACTGGCAATGTCGCTTGTGAAAATATGTAATGCCGCTTACACGAGGATTTTTATATACTCGAGGCAGCAATTACGTCTGATGAAGAAAATTTTACTGGCACATCTCATTTCCTCTTCCGTCATCCAAATAATCTGATTTAACTTGTAAATTGAGAGTGAAAAGGTTAATTTGTCTGGTATAGTAATGATCGCCAATTCCAATCGGTTATACATATTGTGTTTGTTTAAAGGGATAATAACTCTTCGTATGAGATCTATATTTCACAATAAAAACATTGTGAATAACTCATAGAAATATAATAGATTCTGTTTTACCACAAAAACGGCAGTAACAGCTATTATTCTGATATCTGAGCTTGTCTTTAGACCACGTGACCTTCATTGATGGCTATACTCTGTAATAATCACTTAAGAGATTTTAACAAAAAACCAAACTTTTTAGAAAAAAACCAGGGACTAACTTTGAATGTAAAAATGGATTCATTAACCATCGGTAAGTATGGGAAAATTGTTGTTTACTCCAGGAAAATTATTATTTTTTTTGACCGAAACGAAGAGTTATTATCCCTTTAAGGTTACCCCTCTAAAAGCCCACATGCACCCAATCTCCAACATCATACAGGGGTAAACGGCAGATATTGGGATTGTTCTGAAAACTCCTTACATTGTCTTAAATGTGGATCAAAAAGTCATTATGCTATATCATTAGATTTTTTGTATGTCATTGCTGGCAGCTGCTTGCGTTGTGCACCAATGTCCTTCATTACAACAGTCGTACTCATTAGCATATTGTAAAATTGCCACGGTATTTTGTTTTGAACCACCCTACCATTTCTGAATATTTGGTTCGCCAGTGTTCATTTCCAATTGGCATTCACGCTATCATTTTATTAAGACAGAAAGGGCTTTTGACATTTCATAAATCTCATTAAAAATCATTTTGATTGATTTATTTATTGGAAAATTAATAATTGGAAAATTAAAGTCTGCGCCTCAAAATTGCTAACAATTCGACCTTGCTCTTGACTTATGTAATTGGTAAGGCTACACTGTAATAGAGATCTAAGGCAAAATTATGTTTCGTTTGATCTTTAACCATTACAAGACTGGGTTGATAATAGCTCTTAAAATTCGAGTCGCTATTTAAAGCAATTTCCTAATCAGCGTCGCGCTTAATTTCAAATAATTGAAAATTTTCAATCGAGAATTCCATTACAACCGTAATGCATAATTAAGAGACCGTTATTTATATACAATGTGTAAATGCTTAAAGTTTAGACAGGGCAGACCAGATATCTGATTCGGACCATATGATGTGCATTTAGGCCTGCGAAATTTGTCAGAATTAACTTTTAGGTTTCTCATCTTTCACATTATTTCAGCTTTCACTGTCTCTTTGTCTATTTAGCTAACTCATTTTCAGAAATTGTTCTTCATGCGCTTTGAGCTCACGCAGCATTTACAATCTACTTTTTTTATTTCTTAAACAATTCTTATTATTATTATACTCATGCCTCATATAAATAGTTTTCCATCAGTTGATCATCACCATTGCTGTCCTCGTCGTAAATAACATTGTCAACAAATACCGTATCAGAGGTGTCGGCTACTCCATAAAGGGAATTCATTCTTAAAGCAGAGTTCTCATTCACTGCATACAGACTGTTACAAATAAGTTGCGTGGTACCCAGGCGATCCGAACCTTGCTGTGGACTTTCATACTGATCGATCAGTCGTTCTTCCCTCGAGTTATCATCATGTATCTCTATGTATCTCTTTTCATGCGAGATGGGATTCGTTTTACCATTGGCGTCAGAATGGCAAAACACTTCGTTCCCTCTAGAACTGTTCAACTTTGTCAGATTGGCCTTTTCATAGGAATAGACACTGGTACCATTAATAGGAACAGTCTCTTGGACACACATCCTGTTCGGTTCCAAATGTGGTGGTGTTTTGTCTTGTGTCTTATTCCATCCTTGATCTGGTAGCTTAGTTTCCTTTTGGCTAGATATA